GATCCTCAAAACATTCCTAAGAGGAGGATATTATGATCCCATTATCCCCATGAATAATGGGGCCTGAGAGAAGTTAAATAACTTCCCCCACGTTGTGCAGATGGACTGAGCAAACTGCAACATTGAACCCAGACTGCGCATCTCCGTCTAACTCCTGCCTCCACGCTGAACTTGGAGGCGAGTTATCTGAGCTTTTGCCGCTGTGTCCCACGGAGCTGCATCAACACGTGGCATTGTTTTTTCCAGATCATCTATTTCACATTTTTGAGGCGTTTGGACTAAAAGATCAGTATATTTAGGCATATATTTTGGGATACAATATTCAATGGGGGATGCCTTCAGCTGCAAGTAACAGAAAATGAAAATTCATTTGGCTTAAACAAAAAAGGCTTTTTCCCCCATAATATATAATATCCAGAGATGGATATTGTATATTATCAATATGCAATATTGATATTGAGTCACTGACTCAGGATATTGAGTCAGTGACTCTGTCATGTTACCAAGATGTGAGGAGCCTGGGTTTGTTGTTCTGCTGACCTTAGCGTAAAACTGACATCTTTCCTAATTGCAGATGGCTTTAGCAACTCCTGGTGTTCAGTGGCAGAAAGATGCTATCTCTTCTTGGTTTTTTTTCCTTAAAAGTATGGAGACCTCTCCTAGAGGTGCTCCAGAAGATATTTCCTCAGACATCACCAGTCACAACAAGGCCCCAGTTGTCACACCGCCCAGTCAAGAGCAAGGGCGGTGTGACAGGTGTGGCTGGCTTGGGAGGGCCCCTCCCCAAGTGAAGGGGCGAGTGGGGCCGTGCCGGGCTCTCCTGGCAGAGAGGGACCAGGGTGGTGGGTGGGCGAAAAATGGGCTCTGTGTTTCTGTGCTGGGTTGGTGCTGGACTTAATTGTGTGATTTGGGGAAAATTATTTGACATCCCTATGTTAAAATTTTGCCATTTTGAAAATAATATCTGTCTTGTAAGTCTGATTCCTAGTGTATGTCTCAATTCTTTTCTTCCAGTTAAGACTGGTACAGAGTTTTAATGTTTTTAGTAAGAAATCACTGAATAATAAATCCACAAGGGTGATTATGAGGGTTTGGGGACTAGGAGATGGTGTTTTGACCAAGAGATACAGTACTTTTCAAATTCTGCCTGGCTTATTTAGGTGCCTGAAGGAACTTCATTCATGGAAAATGAAATAATAGCAGGTAGCCTGATGCTTCAGATCTCAGCATGGATCTCTCTGCAGGGTGTGTGGCGTCCTCACCACTCACTCTAAAGCCAAAGCTCAGTTTCAGGATCTGCCACCCGTCTTTCTTCCACCCTTGCCCTGCTGGTGGCATGGTGTATCCATGATTGAAGAGGTAGGGTGCTGAGCTTGCGCGAGCCTCACTATGTCCTGGGCTTCTCTTTGTAGCAGGGACTGTGCTGCGCTGCAGGTGAGTGTGGCCAGGCCCATCCCTGTCCCTCTGAGGATGAGGGAGACGGGGAGGGACCCCGCTGGGGCTAGGACAGTTCCTTAACAATTCTTTTCCTAGAGCCCTCACTAGACATCAGACCTTTGTCTATTGCTATAACTGAGATCAATCTATATTTGTAAAAATAACAATTTAGTACATCATAAATGTTACTAAAGTTTAAGAATCAGGTGAATTTTAAATATTGAGCACAGAATGGAAAGTTCTGGATAGCTGCAGGTTTATTTCTTTCAGTACCACCAGTTTGAGCATTTTAATTGTTTAGGGTATAACTCTTTTTTATATGTGCCATGTACATCCTATTTTTTTAACTTTTAGCTAAATATGTTGAGCATAATTTAGTTGTCAGATCGGTGGGGACTGTGTAGTCTTAACCATTTTGCTCTGGCATTGTATTTTTGAATTTTGTGTCTGTATTTTATACGTCTTTGCTTTACTTGCTATCATTGTGTCATAGATCCTTTCTTAATGTTGTCAATTCTTAACGCGAGCAACCCCTCTTCACCCTCTGCTTCCATTATGGGTAGGGAACACCCAATCAAAACGAAACTCCACAGGGCAGGAGTGAGGGACACGGAAACTCCTGACCTCTCAGAGTCCCTTTGTGCATCATCTTTCTAAACTGTGTCCTTAATATGTGAGTTTGGAATTGATCTTTTTAGATGAGGATTTTTCTTTGTTTCTTTTTCTTCTTTTTTTAAGGAACAGAGTCTTGCTGTGTTGTCCAGGCTTGGAGTGCAGTGGCATGATCAGAGCTCTAGAAGCAGGGTTGACAAAACATGGTCTACAGCCATGTACTTGTGCACACCGACGACAGGCCTTATTGATTTGCTATGTCATTCCTTCTAGCTGAGTTTAGATCCTTCCAGCCACAGGATCCCTCATCCAGTGCTTCAGAAAAACACTGCCCACCAGTGAGAGTGGACTACCGAAGGCAGCCCGCGGCGTATCAGAAGGAAGGGTTTCTGGTTACTTAGCTGGGGCTGAGCACATCATGGCTTAGCCTAAATGTCCACTCAGTCATTATATTTCCCAAAAGTTCTAACTTAGGGCACAGTATGCAAATAAATAAAAGGAGAAAAACTTTCAAAGGTGATAAGATTTTCTTGCTAAGTAAAGTATCAGAACCAACATGAAGAATCCAAACCAAAATAAACTTCTAAACCTTAAGCAACGTTCTCCACCTTCCTCTCAGAAGGAGAGGCTGGTGAAAATGACCAGCGAGATAATGAATGCCACACACACCTGCCGAGGAGGTTCAGGCTGGGGCTCTTTTAACTTATGTAGGTGGCTAGCAAAGAAGCAAGATTGAATCAGAGATACTAAGCAGAGGTGATACCAACCTTCCTAAAATTCCATCTCATCTTCTTTTCTGTTGTCACAATTCTAAGCAAGGGCTCCGCCCTGCCATTAAAAAAGGAACACATCATAGTGAAGAAAGCCAGTGCCAAGTGGGGCCCTCGCACTCCCGTGACGGAGGTGCTCAGGCAGTAGCACTTGATTCCTGAGTAGAGCGGTGTCTCACTGCAGGACTTACAAAGGAAATCCTTAAAAGCTGGTTTTGCTACTTGCATCCCTTGTCCTTTTAATGAGCATGAAGGGAGAGGTACACATAGAGGTGAGGAGGATTAGTGTGGAGATTCCTTGGGGAGAGCGGGGCTGCACCTTGAGGGGGAAGATGGAAAATGTGTCACTGTCTCTCCTTGGGCCTCTGCGGGGCCCCCAGGTGGGAACGTTCCCTGCAGCTGTGAGACACGGAGCTCCTTCATGGAGAGGGCTGTTTCCTGTGACTAGATGAGCGCCTTGCTGGAGAGAATGGGCTCCAGGCCACTGGAAGTTGTGGCTAAGAGGACTGGTCACCTGCAGGTGCAGGGGCTCCAGCCAGGGGTCTTGCAGTAAAATTTGGGACCCCTCTAGGCTGAGGAGCGGCAGCAGGAAGCGAATGCATTCCAGAGCCATGGTTAGGGAGTCCTCTGAGCATCCTTCAGCCTTCCGTGAAAATGTGCACCAGACTCAAGTCAGCTTTAATATCTGGGAGGCAGAGAGCACAGTCTGCCTGTGACAGCACCAGGCCCAGGCCCAGAAGGACATTCCATTCTTACCTCTCTATCCACCCTGCCCTTGACCTCTGCTGCTTGAGACAGTGACCCCAGAGGAAAGATACAGACCTGTCCGTTTCCCCCCAAATGAGCAGCCTGTCAACTATTGATCTTAACTGGGGAGAGGGGAAGGAAAAGTATTACCTCTGGGTGAGGACTGAGTGTTGATCTGCCTAATTTCTGAATTGAGACTGTGTTTGTGTTAATGGGACAGCAAGACCTTTCCAGATAAGAGTAAATAGAAAAATCACTGGTTCTGCCCACATTTTCTTCTGCAGTAGGTGTAATTCCCCCATTAAAAAAATGCTGAAGAAATATTGGGCTGTCAAATGATGTTGTGTCCTGTTTATACCTTATAAGTTGAGCTTATAAGATAGCTTATAAGCTATCAGGGTTTCGGGATGGGGGAAACATCTTATAGGAGACCCAAAAAAACAACATGGTATGTGCAGGAAAGTATCATCTGTTTGAGGTTGTCGAAGCTTCGGGTTTGAGGCCTAGAGTAGCAGAAGTGAACCCCAAGAGAAAGGTAGGTTCAGCTCCAGGAGATGCCTGGGCTCACCCCGCAGATGGGGCAGGGCAGCAGCCAGGGCTGCCAGGCTGTGAGCCCCGGGCAGGCGGGGCCAGCCACTGTGCTTCTGCGCTCAGGCATGCCTGCTGTCTGCGTGGAGCCTGGCCTGTACTCTCACATGTACCTCATTAATATTTGAATGGATACATAAAAGAATTGATCCAGAAGTTGATCTTAAAAATGTGGGTGAGATAAGGGAGTTGCAGATAACATATAGCCTGTTGTTATCACAAGCTTTTCTTAACCACTTAGTGCAACAGGCCGATGTATCAGCTCCACAGTATATATCGGCCGCCACACTTTTTGCCCTAGACGCAAAAGCCGATATTTCGGCCCGAGGCACTAAGAGGGTTAATATATTCTAGACAGGGACATGTAAATATGAGTGCTATAGATGATTTTCTTAGACATTGTGTGTCTTAAAACAACTTCCATATGGGTCTCTAACAAAAATCATTATAGCAAAGTGATTTAATATTTTTAAATTTTACTGTATCAAAATTTTTATTTTTATGTATTGGGTGGGCAGTGATTTCATATTTTGATAGATTTCATAAAATTCAACTCAGCCTGATGTTTTAAACCCTCTTCAAATCTTATGTCCTTTTACTGATATAATTTCTGTATTTCAACTAATTTGCTATTTTTATATATAAAATCAAAGTTTACATGATAAAAAATCGACCATGGTCTAGGAAATGTATTTCATACATGTATATAAACATATTCCTGATAATGTACTATGTATAATTGTAATGATTTGTATTCATGTTTATTACTCTAGACACTCAGTAATGTCTGTTACATTTTTATAGTAATAATAGTTGAAGTATATTTTAAAACTTTTTTCCCCTCAGAAGCAAGTTTCCCCAGAAGGACTTAGAAACGCTGTTCCATGGAATGAGTGCTGATTTCACAAGTGAGAATTTTTCAGCTGCCTGGTATCTCATAGAGAACCACTCAACCACCAGGTCAGTGGCTGCCCATTGTTAGCTAGGAAGGGTTTCACTCACATGCGATAATAGGATTATACCTTAACTTGAGTTTAGATCTGGCTCTGAATTACAGTAAGGTAGTCTTAGGCCCATGAGCCTTTTACTTTTGGTGAGTCTGTGAACATCTCAGGATATCTATTTCCTTATCTATAAAATAAGATTGCCAGTTAGAGGTCTCTCATTTCTTATTATCATTTTATGTTTCTGTATGTTTCATTATGCATGCAGCTCATTGAGACTGTGGAGGTGTAGCTGGGCACATAAACTGATGTGTTTGGCTATGATCTACTCCTATTCAAGTAGCACAAAAGTTTTCAGTTCAGGTGTAGACTATGGAACACACTGCCTTCCCTGACCATAGAATAAAGGAGGATGACTTTGTTATTATATAAAGATCTGGCTTAAAATTATCCAAAAAGTAGACAAGGTTGTATATGTAAAAGAAAGCATTCTTTTTGTCTACTAATTATATTTTACCCACTTTATGAGAGCAGATTTGTAACCTATTTGCAAGATTGACTTAAAACAATTATAATCAGTAAAAAAAAGTTTGAATAAATCAATGGTTTGTTGCTTAAATTTAAATTCTTGTTAATCAACTTGTTAAAATATACCTTAATATAAATTTTTCATTCACACATTAGGATGAAAACCATTATTAGAAAATATAAGGAAAAGCTGATATTTCAGTATTATTACATAGAGTAAATTTGGCTTGATAAATTTTTAAAGGAAATCTCTGAAATGAATTTTTTTATTATAGAACATGGTTCCAGTTTTACATTACAGATGTGCTTTTTCTATTCTTATAAGTCAGAATTGATCTCTGTTTTTTGTATAGGGCTATATCAGGGTACTTGAGAATATATTTAAAGTTTGATAGACAGATTTTCTTAGCTCACATGGAAATAAAACTTCTGAAATACAGAGGCCTATTTTTTTGTTTGTTTCTCTGCTTGAGATATAGAGATAATATATTGTAGTCTTCTTAGTTATTTAAATTGTGAATTGACCCACAGGTTTTATGTAATTTTATTATTAAGGACAGAGGAGTAGGTATTGATGTGATGAATATGATGTTATGCTCAGTGTTTAAAAATACTTAAGTGAGTGTACAGAGAGTTCTGCCTTTGAAATATTGCCCATCACTTGATGCTCTATGTCTTCTTATCAGGTGTAGAGGATATTTAAAACTCTTTATCTGGAAAATCATATATATTATAGGTCATAAAAATATCTACATATACATTTACTTCTTAGGGGTCTAACATATCTGGAGTTACCATTTGATGGCTACAAAACTCTTCTGCAGCTGTTGTAATTTAAATGTTCATAATGTATAAAAGGCTTGGATCTAGATAAGAATATGAAAGCTTTTTGTTTTCATCTGGTTTCATATTGTATTAATCTGTATGCTTCTTAACATAGGTTTTAGCATTCCTGGTATTTTACACCCAATGAATTATTTCTTTTTTTTGCATGTTAGGTGTCTCAAACGTTTGGTTTCTTTATTTCCTTTCAGTTTTGAACAGCTCAAGATGGCAGTCACCAACCTCAAGAGACAGGCTAACAAGAAGAGCGAGGGTAGTCTGGCTTATGTGAAAGGGGGTCTCAGTACATTCTTTGAAGCACAAGATGCCCTTTCAGGTAAGGCGATCCTTGGAGCCATCTGCCCAGCAGCTTCCACAATGGAAACTGGATACACGCTTGCAGGGTGTTTACAGGGTGTGACATTCGGTCTGTATTTATTAAGTAGAGTTCTAAAATGTGCCATAAATATTTGTTGCAGACTAGGCTGGCATCTCTTTGAAGGCTTGGTACTTTAAAAATTTATCTCTGAGGCTTTTGTTGACCTATCGTACATGTGTGAAATTGGAGACTACTTTACCCTTCTGTGATGTACAATCTACAAGGTTGATAAGAAATTAAATCTCACTGGGTAAAATTCTAGGATTTTTAAAATCCTTTTGTAGCCATCAATATCTTACATATGTGACTAATTCTATAAATGTGACCCATTGTGTGTACAATTTGGAAAGGACTGATGACAAGGTGTCATTCTTCCTGGCTCTTACCCCAGCAGCCCCACACATACACGAAGGTCGCTGTCCCACTGCAATGCCATTATGTTTATATGGGAGGGAAGTTGTATCAAGTGCAAATGTCATAGCTTTAGACATTTCAATGAAAGGTGTCAGTAGGCTTTATTTTAACCACCTTTAATTAATAAAAGTTTAATTATTGTTTATCTAGTAAAAAGTAAAACATTATTAATAAAAGTTAACCCAGTTCTTTTTAAACTAAGATATTATAACTATGTACCTATATAGCTAGGTATCTATAAGTCTGTATATTAAGAGGATGCACCTTCTTCAATTCAGAAAGACAAATTTAAAAAATTAATTTGTATTCTTAAAGTACAGAAATCCTTTTATTGTTTCTAAAATCCATGTCCTCATGTGCCAAATATGCTTAATTGACTTCTGACACCTTAAATACAGCTCTTTCCTTGCAGGTAGAGGTTAGGTTTTTGAAGGGGTAAAATGTGAATGCCTAGGAGGGAACAGAGAAACTAGGTCATCACCTTTGGTAAATGCTGTGTGCCAACGGTTCTTGATGGTGGGCCTTTCTTTCTTTGTGCTTACTGCTGTTCTAAGTTACCAATAGTTAATGTTAACCATATTAGGAAGAGAAATATGAGTATATGTGAACAGAGTTTAGTATATAAATCAAGTAAAGGTGTTTATTCATATGCCTAATAGTGACACAAATGCTTCTCATAAATTTTTATAATTAAAGTGATTTCACTTAGCAAAAAGATGGATTTCTCTCCAGTCTTTTTAAAAAACACATTTACATATGCATGTATATTTGTATTTATGCTTTTTGCTTCTATAAATGGCTTTACTATTGGCAGATTTCAAGAAGTTTTATTTGGTAATCATTAAATTTATGTAGTCTTATTTATTAGACATTCACTCTAGAAGCATGTTATTTGATACATTAAATTTGTGTAGTCTCATTTATTAGACATTTGCTCTAAAGGTGTGTTGGCAAATTAAAGTTTAACAAAGATAATGCTCACCAACTACTAATAAGTGAATGACTGTATGACATATAGAAACTGATTGTGATAGTAAATTTAGACGCATGCACATATATCTAGTTTTTCTGTTTTTTGATGTAAAAGAAATGCATATTATAGAAAATATTAAACCGATAAATAATTAGCAAGAACTACTTCCATTGTAGAGATAATCACATTGACATTTTGATGTTTTTCTTCCTTTTGATTTTTTTCTTAGCTTTTATGAGTACATATTATTACATATTATTAAGTTGAGGTTATACTGTATATAGTTGTGTATGTTAGAAACCTGTTTTATTCTTTAGAGAAAACCTGTTCTGGGTAATTATGTTAGTTTTGATTTGTTGGTAGGTTTTTATAACTTTTTGCAACTATAGTCTTAAATGAAATTAATCTATAGTTTTTAAAAATGCTTTTCTGGTCAGGTTGTAGTGTTAATGTTATACAGAATCATATGAATGTATCTGTATGTGTTTGTGTATGTACTCTCAATGGGCTATATAGATTAGAAATTACCTGTTTAAATTTTAAAAGAGCTGTTACATAAAATAGCTCATTTAATTTGTTTTACTTTTCGGTTATGAATATTTTCAAACATGCTAAAATAGAGATGATAGTATTAATATAATCAACTGCTATATACCTGCCATCTAGGTTTAACACTTACTATATTTTTTCATACTTGTTTTATCAGTATTTTTTGAAGTTGATTTATTTGTGTTTTGCTGATATATTTTAAAGCAAATCTCAAGCAGCATGACATTTCTCTCCTATATACCTTAGTATGAATCCCTCAAGTAAAGATATTTATGTACCTAATCATAATACCATTATCATAGCTAACAAAATTAGCAATAATTCTTCAGTATCATCTAATTCCTAGTTTATATTCAGTTTTCTCCAATTATCCCTAAACTCTCTTTTTTATAGCTGATTTGTCTAAATCAAGATCCAAATAAAATTCAGGTATTTCATTTGATTTTTTAATCTCTTAAGCCTCTTTTAAACTGTAAAAATCCCCTCACCTTTCCTACCTAGTTTTGTTTTTTCATGCCATTGATTGGCATGAAACAAGGTTAAGGTTGAAGAAACAAGGTTATTTGTACTATAAAGTATCCCACATTCTGGATTTGACTGATTACTTCCTCATGGTGTCATTTGACTTATTTTTCTCTCCAATGTGCTAGGGGTCATCTAAACCACATTAGATAAGATTCAGTTTCAACATTTTTGGCCACAAGGAGAACTGTGTTGCTTCCTCTTTTATCACACTGGGAGTCATTTAGTGTCTGGTTGTCCCTCCTGTAGAGACAACATAATGTATAGGTGGCTAAAGGGGTGGGCACCAGCAGTTGATATGTATGTGTACTTTTAACACCTCTATTTTTGTGTTTTGTTTATTTTGGTTTAGTTTTCCCTTGAAATTCTCTATTTCATCAAGATTTTCATATTTTTTTAGCCATTGCATTGTAATTTTTAAATCATTTAAAATTAATGTTATGGCCCTTTCATTATCTGTTTATTTATGTGTTCTACTTCCTTTTTAATTTTTTTTATTTTCTTTTATTCTTTTTTTTTTATTTCGGCATATTATGGGGGTACAGATTTTAAGGTTTCAATAAATGCCCTTTCCCCTCCTCCCCCCACAAGTCTGAGTTTCCAGCATGACCATCTCTCAGATAGTGCACATCTCACTCAGTATGTATGTATATACCCGCTCCCCTCCCCCCTGCCCAATACCCTATTACTGTAGCACCTATGTGTCCACTTAGGTGCTGCTCAGTTAATACCAGTTTGCTGGTGGGTATATGTGGTGCTTATTTTTCCATTCTTGGGAAACTTCACTTAGTAGTATGGGTTCCAGCTCTAACCAGGAAATTATAAAGATGTGCTATGTCACCATTGTTTCTTAGAGCTGAATAGTACTCCATGGTATACATATACCACATTTTATTAATCCATTCTTGGATTGATGGGCACTTGGGCTGTTTCCACAGCCTTGCAGTTATGAATTGTGCTGCTATAAACATTCGAGTGCAGGTGTCTTTTTTGTAGTGTGTCATTGGATCTTGACAGTAATGGGATGCCCAGTAATGGGATTGCTGGATCAAATGGTAGATTCACTTGTATCTCTTTAAGGTATCTCCATATTGCTTTCCACAGAGGTTGAATTGGTTTGCAGTCCCACCAGCAGTGTAGGAGTGTTCCTCTCTCTCCGCAACCACGCCAGCATTTATTGTTTGGAGACTTTTTGATTCTCACTGGAGTTAAGTGATATCTCATTGTGGTTTTGATTTGCATTTCCCTGATGATTAGAGATGTTGAGCATTTTTTCATATGTTTGTTGGCCTTTCTCCTGTCTTCTTTAGAAAAGTTTCTGTTCAAGTCTTTTTAATAGGATTATGTGATTTTTTTCTTGCTGATTTTCGTGAGTTCTAAGTATATTCTAGTTATCAGCCCCTTATCGGATGCGTAGGATGCAAAATTTTCTCCATTCTGTAGGTTGTCTGTTACTTTCATGACTGTTTCTTGGCTGTGCAGAAGCTTTTTAGTTTGATCATGTCCATTTATTTATTTTTGCTGATGTGATTGCCTTTGGAGACTTCTTCATAAACTCTTTGCCTAGGCCGATGTCTAGGAGAGTATTTCCAACATTTCCTCAGAATTTAATAGTTTCATACCTTAGGTTTAAGTCTGTTATCCAGCGTGAGTTTTTTTGTGAGAGGTGAAATGTGTGGGTCCGCTTTGCCTTCTACGAGTGGCTATCCAGTTTTCCAGAACCATTTTGAAAGGGATTCTTTTCCCCAGCATATGTTTTTGTCTGCTTTGTCAAAGATTAGATGGCTATATGAGGATGGTTTATTCAGGATTCTCAGATCTGTTCACTGGTCAATATTCCTATTTTTGTGCCAATACAGATTCATTTAATTACTAAGCTTTGTAGTATACTTTGATATCTGGCATATAACACCTCCATTTTGTTTTGTTGCTTAGAATTGCTTTTGATTATCGGGTCTTCTTTGGTTCCATATGAAGCGTAAAATTATTTTTTTTTATATCTGTGAAGAATGCTGATGGGATTAATAGGTATTGCATTGAATCTGTAGATCAGTTTGGGTAGTATAGACATTTTAATGATGTTGAGTCTGCCAACCCACGAGCATGGTATGGCTTTCCATCTGTTTACATCCTCTACTATTTCCTTCCTCGGTGTTCATAGTTCTCCCTGTAGAGGTCTTTACCTCCTTAGTTAAGTATATCCAGGTACTTTAATTTCTTGTTGCTATTGTGAAGGGAATTGAGTCTTTGATTTGGTCTCAATTTGATTGTTGTTGGCGTATATGAATGCCTGATTTCTGTGTATTGATTTTGTATCCTGAGACTTTACTAAATTCATTTATCATCCAGGAGTTTCTGGTTGAATCTTTGGGGTTTTCTAAATATAATATCATATCATCAGCAAACAGTGAAAGTTTGATCTCTTCTGCCCCTATTTGGATACCTTTAATTCCACTTTCCTGTCTGATTGCAGTAGCCAGGACTTCCAGCACTATGTTGA